TACATGATGTCTGACCATTTGTAATGTACCTACATATACATGATGGCTGACCATTTGTAATTTACCTACATTTACATGATGTTTGACCATTTGTAATGTACCTACATGTACANTTTGTAATGTACCTACATTTACGTGATGTCTGACCCTTTGTAATGTACCTACATTTACATGATGTCTGACCATTTGTAATGTACCTACATTTACGTGATGTCTGACCATTTGTAATGTACCTACATTTACATGATGTCTGGCCATTTGTAATGTACTTACATTTACATGATGTCTGACCATTTGTAATGTACCTACATTTACATGATGTCTGACCATTTGTAATGTACCTACATATACATGATGTCTGACCATTTGTAATGTACCTACATATACATGATGTCTGACCATTTGTAATGTACCTACATATACATGATGTCTGACCATTTGTAATGTACCTACATATACATGATGTCTGACCATTTGTAATGTACCTACATATACATGATGTCTGACCATTTGTAATGTACCTACATATACATGATGTCTGACCATTTGTAATGTACCTACATATACATGATGTCTGACCATTTGTAATGTACCTACATATACATGATGTCTGACCATTTGTAATGTACCTACATATACATGATGTCTGACCATTTGTAATGTACCTACATATACATGATGTCTGACCATTTGTAATGTACCTACATATACATGATGTCTGACCATTTGTAATGTACCTACATATACATGATGTCTGACCATTTGTAATGTACCTACATATACATGATGTCTGACCATTTGTAATGTACCTACATATACATGATGTCTGACCATTTGTAATGTACCTACATATACATGATGTCTGACCATTTGTAATGTACCTACATATACATGATGTCTGACCATTTGTAATGTACCTACATATACATGATGTCTGACCATTTGTAATGTACCTACATATACATGATGTCTGACCATTTGTAATGTACCTACATATACATGATGTCTGACCATTTGTAATGTACCTACATATACATGATGTCTGACCATTTGTAATGTACCTACATATACATGATGTCTGACCATTTGTAATGTACCTACATATACATGATGTCTGACCATTTGTAATGTACCTACATATACATGATGTCTGACCATTTGTAATGTACCTACATATACATGATGTCTGACCATTTGTAATGTACCTACATATACATGATGTCTGACCATTTGTAATGTACCTACATATACATGATGTCTGACCATTTGTAATGTACCTACATATACATGATGTCTGACCATTTGTAATGTACCTACATATACATGATGTCTGACCATTTGTAATGTACCTACATATACATGATGTCTGACCATTTGTAATGTACCTACATATACATGATGTCTGACCATTTGTAATGTACCTACATATACATGATGTCTGACCATTTGTAATGTACCTACATATACATGATGTCTGACCATTTGTAATGTACCTACATATACATGATGTCTGACCATTTGTAATGTACCTACATATACATGATGTCTGACCATTTGTAATGTACCTACATATACATGATGTCTGACCATTTGTAATGTACCTACATATACATGATGTCTGACCATTTGTAATGTACCTACATATACATGATGTCTGACCATTTGTAATGTACCTACATATACATGATGTCTGACCATTTGTAATGTACCTACATATACATGATGTCTGACCATTTGTAATGTACCTACATATACATGATGTCTGACCATTTGTAATGTACCTACATATACATGATGTCTGACCATTTGTAATGTACCTACATATACATGATGTCTGACCATTTGTAATGTACCTACATATACATGATGTCTGACCATTTGTAATGTACCTACATATACATGATGTCTGACCATTTGTAATGTACCTACATATACATGATGTCTGACCATTTGTAATGTACCTACATATACATGATGTCTGACCATTTGTAATGTACCTACATATACATGATGTCTGACCATTTGTAATGTACCTACATATACATGATGTCTGACCATTTGTAATGTACCTACATATACATGATGTCTGACCATTTGTAATGTACCTACATATACATGATGTCTGACCATTTGTAATGTACCTACATATACATGATGTCTGACCATTTGTAATGTACCTACATATACATGATGTCTGACCATTTGTAATGTACCTACATATACATGATGTCTGACCATTTGTAATGTACCTACATATACATGATGTCTGACCATTTGTAATGTACCTACATATACATGATGTCTGACCATTTGTAATGTACCTACATATACATGATGTCTGACCATTTGTAATGTACCTACATATACATGATGTCTGACCATTTGTAATGTACCTACATATACATGATGTCTGACCATTTGTAATGTACCTACATATACATGATGTCTGACCATTTGTAATGTACCTACATATACATGATGTCTGACCATTTGTAATGTACCTACATATACATGATGTCTGACCATTTGTAATGTACCTACATATACATGATGTCTGACCATTTGTAATGTACCTACATATACATGATGTCTGACCATTTGTAATGTACCTACATATACATGATGTCTGACCATTTGTAATGTACCTACATATACATGATGTCTGACCATTTGTAATGTACCTACATATACATGATGTCTGACCATTTGTAATGTACCTACATATACATGATGTCTGACCATTTGTAATGTACCTACATATACATGATGTCTGACCATTTGTAATGTACCTACATATACATGATGTCTGACCATTTGTAATGTACCTACATATACATGATGTCTGACCATTTGTAATGTACCTACATATACATGATGTCTGACCATTTGTAATGTACCTACATATACATGATGTCTGACCATTTGTAATGTACCTACATATACATGATGTCTGACCATTTGTAATGTACCTACATATACATGATGTCTGACCATTTGTAATGTACCTACATATACATGATGTCTGACCATTTGTAATGTACCTACATATACATGATGTCTGACCATTTGTAATGTACCTACATATACATGATGTCTGACCATTTGTAATGTACCTACATATACATGATGTCTGACCATTTGTAATGTACCTACATATACATGATGTCTGACCATTTGTAATGTACCTACATATACATGATGTCTGACCATTTGTAATGTACCTACATATACATGATGTCTGACCATTTGTAATGTACCTACATATACATGATGTCTGACCATTTGTAATGTACCTACATATACATGATGTCTGACCATTTGTAATGTACCTACATATACATGATGTCTGACCATTTGTAATGTACCTACATATACATGATGTCTGACCATTTGTAATGTACCTACATATACATGATGTCTGACCCTTTGTAATGTACCTACATATACATGATGTCTGACCATTTGTAATGTACCTACATATGCATGATGTTTGACCCTTTGTAATGTACCTACATATACATGATGTCTGACCCTTTGTTTTGTTGTCTTTCGCTTCCTGTTGCTGTTCTTCTCGTCTCGACTATGTGTTTTTATTTGTTATTCAGTGACGTTGCTGATGTATTATATTAATTAACATGACGGACACTGGTTGTTCGAATGTAGATAAGAAAAAAGGAAATCATTTCTTATTTGACATATGCATATGTGTGAGAATTGTTATAAAATAAACGTTCCTTTGATATCGTACATTTATATGGGGAGTAATAAAGAGGGAAACATTTTGAAATGTGTTGCTTGTTGTTCTCACATAGTTTTCTGTGAATATTTATTTAGTTTTTAAGTTGTAATGTAGTGCTTCTATTCACATAACATACCATGTTAAGTCTTTTACTGAGGTCAGTGTGTGAGAATGAACATAAATATTTTGCCGATAAGCACATCCAACTCATTACTGTCGTAATTTTGCTTCAAACACCTCCCTCTCCCCTCTTTTTTTGAGTTAACTTATTTAGCCTGTGACTCTCCCGCAAACTATAACGTGCTAACTTATAGGCCCCAATAACTTTAGTTCAGTAAACAATTGGATATAATTTATACAATATGTATTTCAGGAGTGTACTTTCCTTTCGTGTTTGATAGCTGATCAGTATTAACTGAAGCGTAAAGAGGCGACAAAAATGTCTAGTATTGATGTTTAAATACATATTTTAGACACTTAGCGATAAAAAAAGTGGTGTGCACGAACACAACAGGATATTGATAGCAGAGTAATTCTTCTGTCAAATAAAAAACAGTAAAGGAGCTTCACAACTCAACTATCTGGTCACGTGTCTCTATTACACCGACCTTCCCAAGAACATGTAGAAGCTGTCCGGCGGAGAGGCGCTACAAGGTTCGTGGCAGAGCATTCGATCACCACGTTTTTATTTTTATGCAGTAACTGTATGATCCAGAGTGTAACGTGAGTATTTCTATTTCTATTCACAACTTAACATTGGTATATACATATTGTTGTTCACCATTTATTCAAGAAACTAGAATTAAATACAATTAAACGTTAACTGAGGCCATAAATACAAACTTACTCCTCAAATTTGCTGACTTATTTAAAGTATTTACCTAATGTAAGCCTAGTCAAATTGGCCATAGTTTTTGTAGGCTTTTTTGTCTTTTTATATTTATAGTGAGATTTTTATAAAACAACATCCGTTGTATATATGCATATGTTTGTAAGTGTTATGACGAACGTACTTCATGTATTTAAAATGATTTTTTTTTCTTTATTTTTACATTTTCTTTGAAATTAATTTGTCGAGCTGGTATCGCGAGTATAATCATTCCGTATCAAAAACTCTTTATCGCATCCTTACAAAGGGTAAATATTAGGGTTTTTTTTTTTTTTTTTTCCCCCTGACAAGTTTTAAAAGAAAATATCAAGATTTATAGCAGGAATTGGACACAATATACCTCTACAAACTGGATTGAAATTTTAATTAACGGGAGTTCAACATTTCAACCTTGAATTATTCAGATACTGCACGCCTTGATCAAAAGTTTCGTAGTTTTATTGCACGCGTTGGTTCTCAACATAGTCGTTATATTATTTGCAGACAATTCTTGTCAATTATTGCAAACGTAAAACCTATATTTGTAATCGAGACAACAACATTATGTTACTGTAAGATACATGTATGATATAGGTGATATCAATAGCTTGACAAATGGTTCCGGTTCATTGTTAGTGTTTGATATCTGAGACGATGAGAAGTAGAACTTCTTTATTTTACCGAGTCGAAAGATGCCTTGATATGTTACTGAACTGGCTATTTTTGTACTCCGTCAATACCTGCTACATTGAATTAAGTATTACACTGAGGAACAGGTATATGATATTGACCTCGGAAATGACAACGAGAATATTTTATCTTGTATTTGTAAAACCGCACATTTACTTAAACAGTTAATCGTGAATAAACAGACTGTACTAACATTCTACATCATGAGACTTGGAAGACGTCATCTGTTTCATCCTCGAAATTTCAGGAGTTACACTTATGACGTACGTGAGCGTAATCCCTGAAACTTCGAGAATGCACTTGTTCATTATTCGAACATTTTAGCATGAGCCTTGGAAGAAGTCAACAGTTTCATTCTCGAAGTAGCAGGAGTTATAGAGGTTGGTATTTATTTCACTCGAGTTAGTTCATTTTCAAAAGTTACAAAAGATACGAGCTTTAGCGAGTGTCTTTCTGTAACTTTTGAAAATTAACCAACGAGTGTGAAATAAATACCATACTCAACAACCACAAGTCGTGTGATCTGTTTCGGAGTATATCCTGATTTGAATAGCATACACACATTTTGTTGAAAAGGCTGGCGTAGTGATATGACCCATATGTAAAAAAGTCATTAATATGCAAAAATGACTTTTTTTTTACAAATTTAATAATTTTTAAAATGAATGTTTCAGCAACAACTTCGTGAAAAAATAAATAGATGAAAGACTTTAAATATTGAGAGTATGCAATATTGCATTAATTAATATAAATTAACCACGGACTATATGCGCGTAAGCATATCGGACGAAGTCTGCCTCCCGCCAAGTGATGAAGACGAACTAATCCCTGTCAATGTCCAAAACCATAGGCCTGGGACGTTTCTTCGTGAGGTCCTATGGTTGACGTTTATAGTGAGAGTTCCGCCATAGACAGGCCCTCCAAATATTGATGACTGGACATGGGGAGAACGAAATATTTTCCGACACTGTTACAGATCTTGTTTGGGTTTCACAGAGACATATATTGGTATATTACGTCTCTGGGTTTCACGACCTAGGCCTGGACACGTGACGATATGGCGTCGAAACGATATCGAGCGTCTGTAGCAATTTTGCCTGAAACTAGCGATCAAATCTTTAAGCATCATCTTCTTTTGGTATTGCCTTAAAAAAACTTTTCCCATCGCATAACCTCACAAAAGTCACCAACATTTGCCGGATGTTGACAGCAGACGACGTAAACAAAACAGCACGCGGCAAAATGCGCGTGAAAAAAATCGTCCGGTCAAAGTTCATCTTCTCGACCAATCAAAACTACGGAAGGTCATATACCACGTGTGGTATATCACTCAGATTTATTCAACAGTCTGCATGTTTATACAATGATCTGAGAGTGGAATAACCTCAGCATATTGTGGTAGAAACAGTTATAGCGTTAGAGAGCGTAATCCCTGAAACTTCGCGAATGCACTTGATCATGATTGATGCGCATGCTTGCCCTGCATGACAAAAGTTCAGGATTAGGTGGTTCAGTCAGGATTAGGTGATTCAGTATTTAGAAATTTGGTCCTTTTTATCTTGTATACTGATCTGTCACAAGGAACCAGTCAGATTACAATTTTTTTGTTAGTTTTAAAACGTCCAGTATCATTTGTGCATGCAAACTAGTTTGTTAGAAAGTTTAATAAATAATGTTTCCTGTGTTTTAACACTGTGATATATGTTGTCCTTGTGTTGAGGCCGTGTAAATTGTTTGTCCTTGGGTGTTGAAGCCCGGGTTTACAAATCGTTTATGGCGGCTATTTGGTTCTTGTGTGGTATTTCAGTATATTATATGGTATAATGTCTTGTCGTGTTGAGGCCGTGTTATATTCTGTTATACTGTATGGTGGCTATGATTCATTCGGTCCATGTGTTCTGACAATGCGGTTTATTTGTTTTCGCTAGCGTTAACGCCATATTATGATGTCTTGTCGTGTTGAGACCGTGTTATATACAGTTATGCTATATGGCGGCTATGATATATTCGGTCCATGTGTTCTGATAATGTGGTTTATTTGTTTTCGCTAGCGTTAACGCCATATTATGATGTCTTGTGTTGAGGCCGTGTTATATTCTGTTATACTGTATGGTGGCTATGATTCATTCGGTCCATGTGTTCTGACACTGCGGTTTATTTGTTTTCGCTAGCGTTAACGCCATATTATGATGTCTTGTCGTGTTGAGGCCGTGTTATATTCTGTTATGCTATATGGCGACCATGATATATTAAATCCTTTTGTGTTGACAGTGCAGAATAATTTTTAGTCGCTAGCGTTGACGCCGTGGTATATGCCGTCATTTTGTGTTGATGTCATGGAATATGATGTCATTTTTAAGTTGAGGGCGTGGGATATGATGTTCTTTTTTTTATTTTATGCCTTGGTTTATGAAGCCTTTATGTGTTGATTTAATAAATGTTAATGGTGACAGCTGACAAACAATATTCGGATTTTTCCTTAAGTACAGTATTTTATTTTTCAAAATTGCATTGTCATATTATCAAGCGATTTTCATATTTGGTAGCAACATACCGTCAGATTACTCATACTGCATACTGAATTATGAGACACATAGATTAGAGAAAGTTTTTTAATTAATCAAATCCTATCTAACTCAAAATGAACCCCACACCGAACTTAAAACAAGAGGCCCAATGGGCCTGCATCGCTCACCTGGTATACATCTCACACTTGTAACCTTAAAAGTTATCTTAACTAAAGCTACAGTATTTATGACTATAAATCATTCAAAAGAATCAGTTAAAAGATTTAAAAACATCTCACCCATGTGTCCTTGAAAGACGAACAAGGTCATTATGTTGAAGAAATCTTATACCCCTTTATCTCAGGATGCAACTTGATAAACATCACCACCCTATCCTTTTGTTTATTGAAATCAGGTCATTTGAATGTTTAAAAATGTTTAAGAGTAAATGTGACCTCCAAAGTGGGTCAAGGTCATTCAAATGAAACGGCTTGATAGCCCTTCATCTAAGCATGCTACTGGCTAAATATCAACATTATGGGCATCATGGTTATTCAGAATAAGTTGTTTAAAAGTGGTTTTTTTTAAACAATTGACCCATGTGACCTTGAATTTAAGTGAAGGTCATTAATTTCAACAAAAGTGGTGGCCCTTCACCCCAGCATGCTACTGACCAAATATGATCACCATGGGCATCTGAGTTATTCAACAGAAGTTGTTTAAAGTTTTTAACATATTTGACTCCTGTGACCTTGAATATGGGTAAAGGTCATTCATTTGAACAAAATTGAGAGTCCTTCATCCCAGCATGCTACTGGCCAAATATCATCATCCTGGGCCTTTTGGTTATTCAGAAGAGTTGTTTAAAAAAATTTTTTTTTTACATATTTGACCCCTGTGCCCTTGAAAATTGGTAAAGTTTTTTTTATTTGAACGATAGCCCTTTATCCCAGTTTGCTTCTGGCCAAATGTCAGCACCCTAGGCATTTTTGTTATTAAGAAAAAAATGTTTAAAGTAAAATATTGACGCCGGACGGACGACTGACGCCGCACCATGACATAAGCTCACTTGGCCCTTCGGGACAGGTGAGCTAATAAAAGATACTTCGGAATTCTATACATCTGTCTTAATTTCTATGGTATAAATATTTCAGTCAGTTTTGGGCAGACCCATGTTAAAGAACCACTGGCTTCAACCCCACCAGGACAACTTGTCATATTGCTTATTTCTAAATAGTTATGCAGATATGGATTGTACAATTATGTTCATATCAATATTTTTGTAATACTTTTGGTTTGATCTACTTCGAAAGTAAACACGTATACAAACACAGATATTAAACGAAAACAATATTGAAGGTGAGTTTATAATTCTCTAGATAGGCTGAATGTATTGTAATTTATAAAGAGTGATTGATAGTTTTAATGAAACGGAGTATCAATATAAATTAATAAAACTCGTTATATTTTTTCCCCATCATAAATCATAAGCAATACAACATAACGGACATCTATGACCGAGTATTAAACAAAGCGTAGCTGAATCGATATCACAACTATTCCGTCTTTGCGTATTGCAGAGTTATCTTCTCTTGAGAGCAGGTGTTGATTGTTACGTCATTGGTTTGTGTGAGAAAATTGCGTCGTTTTCTCAAAAATTGATGACGTTACTCTCACAAACAAGTGACGTAACAATCAATACCTGCTTCCAAGAGAAGATAACTCTGCAATACGCAAAGACGGAATTGTGCATACACTTACAGCGTAGCCGAATCAACATCGTACACGTTTTACACTTTTGTGTGCATACGCTTCACTGGTCATTTGTCTGATGAAGGTGAAAGTGTGTACAACCGTTCCAGTCATCGAAACGTCACTTAGAAACTCTTATTGGTTGTGCAAAAAGAACTTTTCAAAAACCATACTTACCAACCTGAAAAAAAATGATTAGAGATAACATAATGGATGGTGATGGAAACAAAAATGTGTAAAACAACACATCATAATATGACAGAAATGCATATTGTATACAGATCCTGATTATCACTATGCTATTTTGTAGGTAACGACTCCATACCAACAGAAAACAATGGTACGTATTATGTTACAAATAAAGCTATTCTTTTGGAAATAATTTAACATACTCTGTTATATATTAAACCGGAGGAGACTTTACAGACCGTTGTCAAGTATACTCAACAAGATTGTTTAGACTGTTATCTAGTATAAAGTTAACGATTTAATCGAATGCATAGCATAATTCATATGATTCGGCTTTGAATCGTTGTTCAAATAATCAGCCATGAAATATGAATTAAAAATAAAATTAAAAAAAAAATGTAATTAATTAATTGTAACTATTGTAGTAACTTTGGATAATTTATGTAGATTTTTCAAAAAAATCATTAAAGTTATGTACTGAAACTTTTCCTGAAAGTGATGATATCTACGGCACAATTTAAGAACCGATTAAATAAACTGGTTTAAAAAAATAGAGAATGAATTAATGGAATTAAATTATGGGTCATTCAAATCGTTCAGTTTCAATGTGTATCTTCTTTATTCGTTGTCGTGACGTACCATTACACATATTTCTATTTCTCAGAAGGGTGTGACCTTGTTCCTTCTGATGGCTTTGGCCTTCTGTCACGTCACAGACGGCGCATGTCCCCTGCAGGCGGCCGGCCTTGGATGTTTCTGTCAGAACGGCGTTGTCGACTGCAGTAATAAACACCTCAGCACAATCCCAGCATTCATCGCCACAGGATGGAATCAATTCTCGATTCTCAGACTGTCTCACAATAATATCACGATGATTCCCAGCAATGCCTTCACCAACATCAACGTTACCACTATAGAGCTCGACTACAACAACATCAATAATATTGCTAAAGACGCTTTCTCAGGTGTTTCAAGTTATCTAACGTCACTGAACCTGGAGGGAAACAACCTCGCTGAAGCATCCGATGCCTTCATAAACTTGCCGCATATCACAAGCCTCAACATCCTCCATAACCCCGTCCGAAGCGTCCCTGATCCGGTCCTGTATGCCATGGGAGCAACGCTCCTGGACTTCAGCTTCGGAGATGATGGATTGAACGTATGGCCAACAACACTGAACCATTTACAGACGCTGGGAAGTCTTAGATTTGAAGGTTTAGCTATGAATAATATTCCGTTCGATGCATTCCATGGATTTGAACTGACGCTGAAAAAGCTTACCATTCGGAGGACCGGTGTATTTAGTGTCCCTCTCGCTGTGAAAGAACTTCTGTACCTGGAGGAATTCTATTTTGAGGACAATATTCAAGTTGCCGATTCGGGCCTGATTGAAAGTGCTTTCCGAACCAGTCAGGGCAATGGTGCGTCTCCAATCAAGACACTTAGTCTGAAAAATAACAGTCTAACCACCTTTCCAACCGCGCTCAGGCAATTTCCCAACTTGGAAAACTTCTTCATGGACAAAAACCGACTGTGGTATATCAACGACGCCATGGTATCGTATGTGCGAGGCTTCATGTACAATGTCAGCCTCAGGAGCTGCAGTCTTGACCGTATTCCACAAGCCATTCTCCGCATCAGGAACCTCAGATACCTCGACTTGTCAGACAACAACATCAACAGTATATATAGCAACGATTTCACCTTCAGCGACGGAAACCAAACTCACGAGCACTTGGAGGTTCTGAATCTAGCCAAAAACCCTCTGGCGTACATAGCAAGCACTGCCTTCACGAATCTCGTCAAACTCCGAGAGCTCAACATTACATCGACTGAGCTCCAGGCGATTCCACAAGCAGTAGGCAGGGTTCCAAGCCTCCGGAAGGTTTATGTTCATGACACGCCGGTTGAATGCACGTGTGACTTAAAATGGATACCCAGCTCTAATGCGAGGAACGTGACCTTTGAAGGTGAATGTGACACCATAACACAGTCTATCGAAAAGTACATCAGCGACCGAGTCCCAACCTGTCCAAATTAAACACCTGCCATTCATCGGAGACTTGTGTAGTTTGCTAAACTACATTGAGGAACGCCGGAAATCAAATGAGTTTACAAAAGAAACGTATTAAAACTTCACCGTTTAGGTTTTCATTTTGAATTCTAACTGTATATTTAGTCGCTTTTGTTTTATTTTTGTATCGTCTCGATTCCTGTTTTTTTCCTTCAATTTGTGGTTCCAATTTGTCTTTCTGTGTCAATGCTAAGGGATAAACATTTTCTACTTTATATATCCTTTCTAAATTCTGTTTGTATTATATTTTGAATAAGTGATGGCCATTTCATTTCGACCAAATAAAGGCAGTAGCGTGACGTCACTGCTGATAAAACCTCCATTGAGTGTATAACACGGCGTTTAAGGATCCTCGTTCCACTACAAATATCTAAACTATCCACTGAAAACCGACTTTGCCAGCATGACTATAGCTTTGATAAATCATTTGTGAATAGAAAGCTATACATTGTGGCACTTTAATGAAAATAATAAAGATGAAATAAACATAAAAATAATCAAGAACAGTGTTGTAGATTTACCCAATACAACCCAATACTACCCAAAACAAGTGTCGATTTACCCAATACGACCCAATACAAGAGTCGATTTGCCCAATACTATCGATTATAAAGTTAAATGTACAAAATACAAGTATAGATGTTGTGCGGACCCAGGTATTTTTTGGCAAAGTCATCGTTATTTGGAATTACTTAATTCAATCTATTTCATTTCAAAATATTTCATTGATAATACAAACAAAGATAAATAGAATTATTACATTATTGTGAATGTAAGTATTTTAGCAGGACTAGACCGGAATTCGAACCCTGGACCTCAGATTGTTATACTATCGCTCTAACTGAGTGAACTACCTGGTCAACAGAAGTATCATGGCCCAACTGTGCAACAGTTATATCCACAACGAAAGTAAGGGGAGGTTACTGTGTATAGGAAGGGGAGGTTACTGTGTATAGGGAAAACCAGTGCAGTGAGACAGGGATCCCTTACAAAATGTTAACATGCATGAAAGTATAAATTTTTGTCACTTCATCAAACAAAACATGAAAATAATCCAATTTTCTTTCAAATTCGAAGCAACATCATGAAAATTTCAAATATTAGATCTAGACATTTTTCCAGCTTATTAATAGCTAGACATTTTTAATAGATTTCTTATGTATTATTGACATACAATGTAACTTATCTTAGATTCCTATGTAGTAATAGCTTAACTCATTCCCCCCTGAAATTTCATAATAAACTATTCCAACCTTTGAATTGGAAGAGTTCTAATGTGTCTTCAGGGGTGAAGGAGTTGTTAACCTGTTTTAGGTTTCCTATGTATTAATGAGATATTGTTTGTCTTTTTTACATAAATGCATTGTTTATCTTCTGTACGTGTTACACTGTACTTATGTTAGGTATTTTGGGTATTCATTTCTTGACACTGTGTACATATCTTCATTTTTTTTGCTTAAGTTGTAGGGAAATCACTGGTGATTCATATGAAATATGAAATTTTATGGAAACTGTTTTTATTATCACATATAAATACAGATTACCATTGACTATCAGTTATTAAATGCTTATTCACTATGTACTGTATGATTCAGAAGAAAAAAGTGAAAAAATCGTATAACAAATTCCTGGGTGCACAAAAACCTCCATGGACACTTCTTCCTTCCCCGGGCACTTAATTGGGTGACCCTTGATGTAAATCCCTTTTCCTGTCTCTTGTATTAAAATGTTCAATCAACAAATATGCCTTGCTTATCTTTGAATATGTATTCAACAGAGCTCATATTCACCACTGAGTTTGAATGCTGAGACATTGTAAAAAGACATGTTCACAAAAGAAATGTTTGTGTTACTCTTTAACATTTAGGTCACAACTATACATTCTTTTCTATTTCAGATACATGGAGTCTAGTCCCCTGTATGGTCTCAATAGTGATTGTTACTCTATTACTCTACCAGGATGCATGTCATGAAATTTGTATAATTTATAATTTATTCAAATGCGGATTGATTTCACAGTTTACATGTTTACTTTTCTAGGTAACACCCCTCCCCATCATCACCACCACCCCCTCCCATCCCATCTTTCCTTCTCCACCCTATCTTTTTCCCTTTCCCAAATAACATATACACTATTTTTACCATATGTATTGAGGAGAGGACTCTATTAAGTTGTAATAACTCGTTGTCTGATCCATTTGTATATTTGTACAATAAAATATGTTTAAACTAAACTCAATAGTGTAAATTAGGATATTTTTACAATGGTTAATATTTGCAATTTTTTTTTCAAAAATAGCTTTAATTTTATTCAACTGAGCTAAAAAAAAAATGCAAATAAGACTATGTATTACTGTAAAAATATCCCAATTTAAATTTTTGAGTGAGGTAAAATATGACTACCATAAAAATATTCCCGATTTCGGTTTTTAAACGAGTTGCACTTCCTAGATCGTGGTCAATGTCATTCAATTCTTTAATCATCTGAGATGTGTCATGCTCGACAGCGTATTTTGCCTATTTAAGCTAACATCTGTGGTGATAAAATGGTGAACTGTCCTCTTTTTTTATAAAAAAAAAAATGTTTCTCATATTGACTCATATACAAGTCATGAATATGATCGTTTGAAGTAAATGTAATGAAATAGTGACAGAATTAACCAATCATTATGAAAAATTATCTTTTCTCTCTTTTGACTGCCCTGCATAACTGTTTGAGCCTTAAGGACCCTACATACCTAACATCAGTATCACATCGAAAAAAATTGAGGTTATATTAAAGTGAACTTTTCAACACAATACATCTCCAGCACACACACAGGCATACACACATAAGGAGTGCATAGAGCTTGTAATTAGCGCCTGAAAAGGAGGCTCCAGCAAATTCCTCAAATTGTATTGATTAACGTACAATTTCATGTACATTGTATATGTTAATTGTATAAATTATATATCTATGGCTACATTCCCGTATCCCGGTTGAAACGGTACGTGTGGTGCAGAAATTTTCCACGATAACGAACTCTCGAAAATTCTATAAGCAGAGTTAAAAATGCACAGTTTCGGAGAATAAACAAGAGGCCTAGTGGGCCTGAATTACTCACCTGGTATTAATCTCACACTTGTAATCTTAAACGTGGACTAAAATTCAGCAACATGTAAAAAGTGTTTGATTCAAAAGAATTTATTAAAAGATTTCAACATATTTGACCCCTGTGACCTTGAAAATGGGTGAATATCATCCATTTGAACAAACTTGGTAACACTTCATCCCAATGTGTAACTAGCCAAATATCATCAGCCTGGACCTTTTTTGTTATTCAGAAGAAGTTGTTTGAAGGTTTTACAAATATTTGACCCCTGTGACCTTGAAAACAATTTGAGGTCATGCATTTGAACAAACTTGGTAGCCCTTCATCCCAGCATGTTACTGGCCAAATATCATTATCCTAGGCCTCATGGTTATTCAGAAGAAGTTGTTCAAAGGTTTTACACTTATTTGACACCTGTGACCTTGAATATGAGTCAAAGTCATTTATTAAAACAAACTTGGTAGCCCTTCATCCCAGCATGATACTGGCCAAAAATCATCACCCTAGGCCTTCTGGTTATTCAAAAGAAGTTGTTAAAAGAATTTATTATATTTGACCCCTGTGACCTTGAAAATGGACAAATGTCTTTCATTTGAACAAACTTGGTAGCCCTTCATCATAGCATGTTACTGGCCATATATCATCAGCCTGGGCCTCTTGGTTATTGAGAAGAAGTTGTCTAAGTAAAAAGTTGACGCATGATGGATGGCAGACAGACGGACGAAGGATACCGCACCACGGCATAAGCTCACTTGGGTCTTCAGGCCAGGTGAGCTAAAAATAATGTATCAAGAATATTATGCCCTTCTTTATGATGCGTCCACTGAATTACATAAAGTATCTTAAAAACTAAATGTGGCATGACATTGTTTAAGAAAGAAAGAACGCAAACTAGCAATAGTCAGCATTTTAGTTTCAGTCAGGTACGTCTGGACCCCTCATTCTGCATGTGCCAAATTTTCCTGAGGTCAGCCTCGGTCCAGATTTGTGCCTGTCGTTTCTTTACAGGTTCGACCGTTTCAACCGGATACGAGATATGTACATATGTAATGTAAAGCGCTTTAGAGTGGCTTTAACTTGCTAGATAGGGCGCTATATCAAATGTGGTATATTTTATTTATTTATATTTTCATTCAACATCGATCTTTTGCTTGATTCTCTTACCAAATATTTGCATTCTATAAATAATTCTAAACTAAAGTCAAATTAATGAATTTCAACACTTGCACTAAATCTCTAACCTTTGGATTTCAGCATATATAGTCAAGCCTGAAACAAGTTTAAAATGTGAAGGTACAAACAAATCTGGCATCCATTTGGACCACTAGGGAACAGCCATACCATATATCTATATCACAATGCAATTTTTTCAGTTGCATTAATGATTTACAACACATGAACCAACAACTTTAACAAAAGCTGATGCAGAAAAAGCAAGTTAAATCATTCACATCATTTGAGCCAATTTGAATCACAGGTTCTAGCTTCGTCTGTCAATCCATCCATAATATAATATTATGTTTGTAACGGCAGACGATACTAGTACCTGTGTTTGAATCAAACATTTAGCAAGGTTACAGTTAAAACCAATGACTGTTGACCACTAGGTCAACATTTAGCTTACTTGTGTTGCTATCAAATGTGTATTTCAACTTTAACTGACAGTAATTAACACCACAACATCAGATACCAGATAAGCATAGATAACACATTCTCCCACCCTTCACATGTGTGTCTCCCGTTTTAGCCGGGAAAGATCAACTTGTCACCCCCTAGGGGGAGATAGCCTCGTGCCGATTAGCACGTGTTCAATTGTGACGTCATTAAAATGGGTCATCGGTAATTGTGACGTCGTCAAAAGTGAATGACTATATACATACCCCACATGTGTTTTTGTTTACAAACATGGCAGACTACTGTCGGTGGAGCTGACTGAAATAATGGGATGGGAGAAAAATAATCATCCCCTACCTTGAGGGTGTGACAGAGAAATCTCCAACCCTCAGGGTGATATTTTTTGGTTGTCTAACCCGAGGCTCTCTGCCTCGGGTTAGACAACCAAAAAACATCACCCCTCGGGTTGGAGATTTTCCTTGGGTAAGACAACCAAAAAACATCACCCCTCGGGTTGCAGATTTCTCTGTCACACCCTCAAGGTAGGGGAAGATTCTATTAATCATTCCTCAGCAACAGTACTACCAATCCTATTTACAACCATAACCAAGCTACATAGCACTGTACAAACTACAAAACGCCCTACCCTTATCCATCCTCAAAACTCCAGGGGCTGCCCTCACTTAGTCTTTGCAGCCCTGGAGTACGTCCATTCAAAATCAAATGCACGCAGTTAGGTATTTGATTCGTTTCAAGTGGGAAAAAAATATTTCGCTGGTACCTGTCTTTTGACGACTACAGAAGAGTGACACTCCACTTAAAAGCTGGTCAAGTTTACTATCATGATGCTGAACGATTGTTTTGATACATCAAAGTATCAAACCAGTCTACTTGTATCATCTAGGAGGTTGCACATACAGAGTCTTTGACTTTGTCATGACATATTCCAGTGGTGCAGAGAATGTAAGCGAGCGTAACCCCTTGAAATTCCAGGATGACCCTTGTATCCATAATAACACAATAACAAGACACATTTCATTGTATTTGTATGAACTATGTTCATTAACCAATATTTAATTTGACAGCCAAAACTGCTGTACACATAATTGTTTGACTGTTAGAAATATAACAGACAAATAATAAAAAACTCATCTGCCATATTTGATTGATGTGACCAATCATAAACAATCAATTGGCTTATCAAGACACTTATAGTGTGTCAGTCTCTATCGGTCATTGTCCATTCTTGAAAACACTTGGTCACAACATCGTATCACAAACTGTCTCCTGTCCAGTTATTGTCCTTGGGAGTGCTTGACCACTGACGTATGTGTTTCTGGTATGACCTTCACAGTTACACTGTACACCATAATTTATTCAGAATAAAACACCATTACAGTGTAACACAAGATATTAAATTTTCATCTCTTGACCAAATGACTAGTGCTCCATAGTAAAGCGCCAACTGAAATAAGGCGATTGTCCAGTCTGTATTTCTGCCAGTTCATAATCTTGAATGCTATATAATATGTAGGAAGTCAACTGTTTAGTCTTTATTTTTTGAAATTTTGACCAGATCAATGCTTCAATACCACATCAAGTAAGTTACAGACAATTCTCTGGTCTTTGTTTCTTCAAAATTTGATAAAAACAGCACTTGTGTTCCATAATAAGTTCAGATCAATGTTCACCTCTTGAAAGTTTTTGGGGAAACCAACACTTTAACAGGGTTACATAGCTGGATGACAGACTCCTTGTTGCCATGGTCACCAGAAAGTGATGGAACATCCATCACAACACTGATCTCAACATGAGTGGAATCTGTAACATAAAAAAATCTACAAATCAGCTTTGATCCTTCATTCAATCATAGACTTGATATTTTTATTTTTATTTATTAAATCCAGGAAATTAGCCTTTAAACTCAAAACTAAAATCAAACTACTTCACTTCGTTTTTGTTTTAGGTTTTTATTTTGTGAGTGCGATTTAAAGAAATTTGTTATTTTTTTTTTTATATCAGACAGTATTACAATTAGAATCAGCAAACCTCAATCCCACTCAGTTATTTCAGATTTACAAACATACATCAGTGGTTTTACTTCATACAGTATCCATTCTCATAGCTTAGCAAGAAAAAGCAAAAAACTGAAGTTCAGAAGAGTATAACAAATGGTATAAAAGCTAATACCCATTGAATATGAACACAATCCCTTAAAACTTTGTACAAAAACAAATTATGAAATGATCATTTTTAGCGGACAGATGAACTATGTTCCCTGTTGAAACATTAAGTGAACACTTTTTTAAGAACATAAATATAATACATCACTGACTAATTCGGAAAAAAGCTAAGAGCCAATGTGATTAATACCTGACCAAGGGGAGTGGGAGAGGAGGACCTGGGACTGTAGGCGATGTCGGAGCTGACCTAGTCTCTGGAAAGCGTCCGGACTGAGCGTGATCAGTTGTGTTTGTTGGTCCGCATACTTTACCTGAACAGAAAATAATGGTCACAGCCGCACATTTGTGCTAGTTTAGAAATACTGAACAGAATTTTTCAAAAGGATATATATTAGGGATGGGTATTTCAAGCAATTTTCACATTGCAATATATTACAATTTTTTAGCAAATATATATTGCAACGTAGCATACTATAATGTTCTCCTTGAAATTTAGTATATTTATAATGATTGTTTTATACATTTGGATAAAATTGATTCAATCTTAACCCTTTCACCCCTAGTTAACTTTGATAGCCTCTTCCATATATTTATTTGGATGAGTCCATTATGGTCTATAGTGGTGAAAGGGTTAATGTTATTTCTGTACAATCAAGCAATTACCTGAAAACATATTGCAATACATTACCGTTTTAAAATCATATTTGATATATGTATTGCTAGACAACTATTGCAATAGTCCAGTATTGGTATTGTTATTATTGCCCAAACCTAATACATATGGAACCCTACTATGACATTTTTTTCTTAGAATTTTCGGCTAGGAAACTAGGAATCATTCATTCATGAAAATTCTAAAAAAAGTTAGTTCATATCAGCTATGAATGCCATGAGGCGATTGCTGATGTCATCGTTATTGTGAGTTATCAATTGTGACACTGGATACCACTGACCTCCCTGTACAGATGGATGATCTATTCACTGAATAAGCATTTACAACACATACATCCATTTGAACTGTATGTTGAACTTTGATAAAAGTAATTGAAGTTTCTAGAGATGAAAAAGTTCTATTAAACTAGAGAAGCTCACAAAGATATACCACTTCTAAGGTTTCAGGAGCAGAACTCCAGGAAACAAATTCCTTTCTTCATTCACATGTGCATATGATGTAGTTTCTATGGCAATGTTACAAAATATTCCAACAAACAATTACAAACTGTTAAGGAGAATATTTCAAAGACCATAACATTTCAAAGAACATAACTGAAGGAAAAATGGTCAGATGGCAAATTCCTTTCTTCATATGCAGATCTACATATGAAGTACTTTCACTGTATCAAGTAACAATAAATATCACACACAGGGCTTAGGGGCAGTTGTGCTTACAAGTATTATGGACAGACAGACGGACGGAAAGACAGACGGACAGCTTGATTCCTTCCAAACACCCCACCCAAATTTTGTTTGCAGGGGGTATAAAATTAGTGAATACAATTACTAACAGCTTTCAGCTGGCATTAATATTGACTATAACCTTTAAATGAAAGTAGTTCTTAATGAGCTGACAACATTTTCACACTTTTTACCTGTAACTTGACATGACAGGGTGACTGTATGTTCTCCAAGGTGGCTTCTACAGCCACTGCTGAAGTAAGGCCTGCAGCAAATTTTATAGGATTGTCTGATGTCCCCGTCGGTTCGTGGAGCACAACACTGGCTTTCCGGATCTTATTGACCACAGGAAAGGCACACGCTTTGACAGACTTCAGCGAGAATTGAAGATGTTTGCGGAATTCTGTATCACTACACGAGTCAAGATTGTCCAGGACAGAGAATAAATAGGTACTGAAAGGATCGGGGGTGATCTGGTGTGAAGTCATGTACCTGTAACATGTATACAGTTTTAACCATGTTCCCTTACATCTGACTGTAAATCCAGTGTTAATACAAACAAGAGTCATACTTCATCATATTTATAACATATTGTCGTTTTTTTCCAGAAATTGTTAAGATGTCTTTTCTAAAACCAGCTACTTGGGTAGTACTATCACTGTTTGAATTCCTTTTATTATTTCCAAAATTTAAAAAATTCAAGTACCTTATCAATAAAATCCCAACTGACAGAATCGAAAGCTTTCTCAAAATCAATAAAAAGTAGCATATCAGGTATTTCATTCTCTTCAGCATATTGCATGATGTCATATATTATTTCAGTGTTTTCTCCTATATATCTTCCTGAAATAAAACCTGACTTGAACTAGATATTTTACCTGTGTAGAGAATTGAACTAGATATTTACCTGTGTAGAGAATTGAACTAGATATTTTACCTGTGTAGAGAATTGAACTAGATATTTTAACTGTGTAGGGTATTGAACTAGATATTTTACCTGTGTAGAGTGCTGAATTAGATATTTTACCTGTGTAGAGAATTGAACTAGGTATTTTATCTGTGTAGGATATTAAACTAGGTATTTTACCTGTGTAGGATATTAAACTAGGTATTTTACCTGTGTAGGATATTAAACTACGTTTTTTACCTGTGAAAGATTCATGTGTAACATGTGTTGGGATATGAATTCGTCATTTTCCATTGTAGACTAATTAATTAAAAGATTTACTTGTGTAGAGTCCTGAGCTGCCGGTTGAATCGGTCCCTGACGTTGGTAAGTTCCTGGTAGTCGCCGAGACGTGACAGCGTCTGTAGTGTGCGAGCCTTGACTTCTGTTTGCCTGACAAGTGACAGTTCTGTAATACCCAGTCCTAGATATACATGTTGTAGCTGCTTGGTCATACTCAGGATCTGTTCATGTCACACAGAAATTTTTTACCAAATATTTATGATTAATAAGAAAAGGAGGGCCTCATTATCAAAGACTGTCCAACTTTCATTTACAAATCACAGAGACAGGTGTATTTTTTTTTAAACTACTACATAATAGGAGTATCCACATGAAGTTTGTTTCTCCATTTTTCAACTATAAATCCTGCAATAATTTCAGAATATCAGGTTCAAGAAAACATGTAAAACCTGTAAACTAGATCATCAATTTCACTGAAAGAAAGGACAACTACAGCAAATATCCATCCAGGGATAATATTTTCTATCGCGGCAATTTAGTTTGTCACTCCATGTGTAATTTTAAAAAGTATTGTCGACTAATGTGGCCTAGTCATCTCTGTATCATATAGACATACAAATTACTCCTACATTATCACATAATGTACTGTGTTATCCAGTGAATATACCCCATGTCATTTTTTTGCATATTAACCCATGTAATATGACCTATCTGCCCTGTGATTGGTTTAAAAATAAGTTTCCATTGTTTCAATTGTGACGTCAAGCCTAGACAAGTACATGAGGTTACAGCCCTACGCACTGGAGTCAAAATGGCGGCTTTTCACATTTCAAGGTTGCATGAAAACTGTCGTTTTACACGAATAAAACAACATATCTTGATTATATGAAATTTGAAACAAGTATTGCATGTTATATATAGGATCTTTCTTGAGTTTCTATTTCATATGAGATTTATGAAACTTGTCACAAATTTTTCAATTTAGCGAGCCTTTTGTTGTTACCGTAGTTACCACCTTTGTGATATTGACCACACTAGTAAACTGCATGGTCGTGTTTACATGGTAACCACTTTTATAAAATAGACCACACTTACTTAATATACATTACCATTGGGGAATAGCATGTCATGTTTACAAACAGATAGCTAAGCAAATGTCACATACATACACAGGGCTAGAAATAAGCTTTTAAAAAAACGCTAGTAAGTCAGGCTAATAGTTTCCGATTTTTCTAGTGCATGCACAATTTCTACTAGCCCAATATGATTAAACATGGAAAGCAATATCAAATTTTGACTAGTCAAGTGGTCTAGCAATTTGTACAACCACTAGTCCAGCTGCAAATTTCAGTAGTCTCAGACTTACTCGCTACCCTTATTGTCTGGCTTCGATACATCGTAGCATAAAATACTGTCACTACACCACAATAAGTCATTGTTACCTTGTCAGTGGTAGATATGATGGTGTCGTTGGCCACACTGCTGTTGCCTGGCAGAGTCTGCTGCTGTTTCATCAGCTATAAATCAACAAATATCAAGCAAATGATAGTTCATCATCAAGATACATTCAAATGGAAAGATGTTACATACACATTTCAATCCTTATACATGTAATTGTATTCAAACTTTGTACAAAGAGAGTTATTTTATCTTCCTGCATGGTTTCTTTTCGTTCTCAATACATTTTAACGATCTGAAAATCCTGTAGTTATTCCCCCCCCCCCCCTTCACCAGCAAATTATTATTACCCTCTAAACTGGTGGGTTATTGTGCCTATCTACACCACTTGATCAATATTCCCCTTTTCTCTGGTGAAAAATTATTCCACCCTATATCGGGCAGTTACAGATTATAAACTCATTCACCCCTGAACTTTTGTAATTAACTATTCCAACCATTGAATTGGAAGAGTTCAAATTTGTCCTCAGGGGTTAATGAGTTAACCTTTCCTTCAATTTTAGGTTACATACACAACCTAACACAAATTTTGTTCCTAAAATGAAATGTAATAATGCTGAATTAATGAGCTTTCTATCAAATTACTCCATTTAATTTTTGCCTTTTTCGCCCTCCACAATAAGGGAGAACTTGGTCATAACAGCGAATATTTTTACACAATTTACCCTATGTAGCAATCACATCTGAAGGGTGGAATTTACACAGGGGGAATATAGATTGAGCACGTGGAGGGTGCCCATTTCACTGAGCAAATGTTTTCCTGTACACAGAACTTTTCAATCTTTAACTTGTGTCACATTTTCTCTGAGACTTCAAAAAATAAAGAACTCATAAAAAACGATTTCTTATATGTTTTGAAAGCTTATTCATCGGATGATTACTTTGCCAAAAGTGTTTTGAGTACATGATTTTGGAGTATCTAATGTCAATTTGTCAGTAGTCCAAGTCGGAATGGTCACCTTGATGAGGAAGAGTTGACACTTGAGGAAGAGGCACATACACTCGGACGAGGCAGACGTATTGTCATCCAGCTTGGTGATGTGTTGAAGATCTCTGAAAAATAAATATGAGCTATCAGACAACTAGTTAAATATCCAGCATCCGATAACTCTCAAAGTTTCATTTAACATTCCATTTTGCAACTACCAGGTAAGATTGAATGTGTGAACCAATATTTATATGGTGACAACACAACTAAATCCTTAAAGAAACAAATCAAATGATTTTTAGATCTAATTATTTAAACATGATAACCTACTGGTAAATTATTCTTGATGTTGGGAGAAGGCTATACCCATACCCAATATAACTTAATTCTATACCTGGAAAATCATATCTGCACAGCCTAATGATGCTCGCATTGATGGTTCAACATTTCAAAGAGGTGACAAATTTAGATAAAGGGAGATAATCAGGATATATCAATATACTCACCTAACCAACATTTCCAGCAGCCCATGAGCAGCTGTGTGGTCCATCGTCCCGATGTTTTCCAGTTGTCGTAGTGACTGCTGAACAAACTGACCACTGTCAGACTTGACCCGTTCAGTTTGCACTGTTTCGCCATAAATCTTACCGGGTACCTGTCACAGAGATGTTACTTTACTTATGCAATTTCTTTTATAAAATTATTTTTTACTATAAAACATACATTTTACCCAGCACCTATCACAGTGATGTTTTTGAACAGTTATTACTTACAAAATTGAAAAAAAAAACATGCTTCTTTGACTAATCAGTAACTTTCAGATACAATGTAAAACTCACAAATATTTTTGGAATGCTTTCTTTCAGATATTGCAAGTCAGCCCTGTAATTATCCAACCTGTAAGACAGCTAGCATGCCTGACACACTCTCCTAGGGGTAGTGTCTTTGAGGTAATATAAGTCATACCTGAAACTTTTTCACCTGGAAGACAGGTAACATGTGTAGAATGCTCTCTTTGAGGTTGAGTAACCCACACCTGTATATTATCTTACCTGTAGGACAGGTAACATGTCGGGAACACTCTCTTTGAGGTAGTGAGAGTGACACCACACCTGTATATTATCTTACCTGTAGGACTGGTAACATGTCAGGAACACTCTCCTTGAGGTTGTGTAACCCCCACCTGTATATTATCTTACATGTAGGACAGGTAACATGTCGGGAACACTCTCCTTGAGATAGTGATAGTGACGCCACACCTGGATATTATCTTACCTGTAGGACAGGTAACATGTCGGGAACACTCTCTTTGAGGTAGTGATAGTGACACCACACCTGTATATTATCTTACCTGTAGGACAGGTAACATGTCAGGAACACTCTCCTTGAGGTTGAGTAACCCACACCTGTATATTATCTTACCTGTAGGACAGGTAACATGTCAGGAACACTCTCCTTGAGGTTGAGTAACCCACACCTGTATATTATCTTATCTGTAAGT